TTCAAAGACAATTGATATTTCAGAGTGATGTGAAAATAATAATAAAAGGAAGGTATTTCATGGCAAACTTAGGGGATAAGTTTAGGACTGTAATTCATGAGTTATCTCAGGGTAAATATTGCAGCCACAAGTGACATCAGTGAGTATTCTCAGGGCAAATGGGAAATGGGTTAAGCAAATCCAAGAAGTCACATCACTTCACCTGTATACATTACAGTTTGTATCTGTAGTTGATATAAATGTAAAAGCACATAAACGTAGTATTATTATCCAATGAACAAAATTAATTTTCATTAATAATTGCTTGATATCATCTAATACTCAACCATGCTCATTTTCTCCTGATTATCTCAAAATTTTTTTTTGGAATTGTTTTTCATTTAATAATTAAGATCTCCAATGTGTTCATAAATTGCATTTAGTTAATATAGCTATTAAAGCTTCTTTTACCTTAACAATTTCCCCTTCCTTCCCTTTTTTATCATGCCAACTACTTGTTAAACACATTTGATTTTTCATTCTGGAGGATTTCTCACATTCTGGGGTGGTCTGATTACTTTTGTTTGATTTTGTTTAACATATTTCTCTGTCCAAATTTTCTCTATAAACTGTCAAGTCATTAGATTCAAATTAATGTGTTTTCTTTTGGCAAAATCTTTTTCTCAATTGTTAGTACAGTGTACTTCCTTTTGAATCACTTCAGGAAACAATTTTTGGTGTCTTCTTTCTACAGATGTTACAATTGCTAACTGGGTTCAGGTGTTGCCAATCTGAGCCATACTTTGTAAAAATCCCCATTAACCTTTCACTCATAGTTTTGAAGCTATTGGTGATCATTGTACAGGCTGATTATTTCACTAGGTATCATAAAATGATGATTTCTATAATTCTATTCATCCTGCTACATTCATTAGCTAACATTCTTCTAGAATAAGAATTTTTTCTTCATCAATTATTTTGTTTCCCTGAAAGGCAAGATAAATGCTTGATGCAGACTCCATTTTTACCCAGTTTCAGAATAATGAGTTGTGGCATTATAATACAAAGCTGGAGCCCAGGATCATGTGACTCTAAGTCTTTTTAATTTCCACTTATCCACAAACACATGGAATGCCCTTCCACTGGCTAACTCCAGCCACCCCTGCCCCTTGAAATGTGGTTTCTTCTCCAAAAATTTTATTCTATAGTAATAAATTTTTTTATTCTAGGAATATTATTGTGTTAGGATTGTTAATCAAGATACCATAGTTAAATAAAAATCTATCCATTTGGAATATAGTGAGAATTTCTTTAAATGAGTGTTTGTTGAATAAATAAGTAAAAGAAGCAGTGACAATAACAATGAAGTAATTCCACAAATGTACCTCAAAAACCAGTGCATTATATTTCAGTACTTCTTTTCCTGGGCTTTACTGTTCTTAGAGATGCTGGCTTAGATAATAGTGATAATTTTGCATCTGTGGACACCATGAGCCAATTCTTGTGGGTACCATGGCTCCAGTCTTGGCCCTAGTTTTAAAGTCTGGTATGACTACCACTATATTATACATAAAAATACTGAAGCTCAGAGAGCCAAACATGGCCGATTGAGTGGGATGGCTCTCAGGGCTGACTGCCCATCTGTTCTTGTGCACCACATTTTCCCTCCAGGGTGACTCTGATGTGCACTGCTCTGCAGGGCTGGGCTCACCACAGAGCAGCTGAATGGCATAGCACAGAGTGTGCAGCTGAAGGAGTTGTGGTTGACCTTTTCATATAAGAAAGCTCTGTTGTCATGTGCAGGTGGATCACCTGGCTGGCCCATGTGGAGCTTGTTCTCTTTACTGGGTCAATGTGGGTCTGTGTCCATGGGGTGAGGGTAGGGGAGAGCTTATCCTTATTCACAGAGGCACAAAGTTTCCCTTACATCCACCCAGAGAGGGGACATTTTTCTGATTTATAAAGGTGTGTATGTGGGAGTCTCTGTCTTTTTCAACAATTACTTCAGAACTAAGAATTGCTTGAATACTTAGTGTCTCTACCTATAAAGGATAGGGTGAAACTCTCTGGGCAGGTCAAGTTACCTCTCTCCTTTGCTTTAACCCCTCCAGTGACCCATCACACTGGGAATCAGATCCAAATGACTGACCAGAGCCTACATGCCTTTGGTCTCACCTCCTGATGCCCTTTCTCTTGTCTCTCTTTCTCCTGGTCCCAGGAGCAAGGGTGCCTTCAGTGTACCCTGTGGAGGTACAAACCACAGGGATACATTTATCACAATATAAATAACTAAATTTAAGAGAAGTGAATTCTACGTTCAAGAAATAAAATGCCTGCTGATTGCATTTTCTTCCTCATTAATACCAAACTAACATTTCCCATTTCACTCAGCTCTTCTGAATTCCAAACTGGGTATCCATTTTAAGAGACACAATTAATCACCTGACAGAAGGAAAGCAGAAGGTGTGGGTGGGAAATAAGCAAACCTAGTTGGTAGGAGACCTCTGCAAAGGAATCTGCAAGTAAACATACAATTATAGCTACTTGAGAGGCTTACACCATGGGAGGTGATTTCCATTTACCCATAGGTCTCAGTTCTGCTGCGTGGAAACAGTAAGAAAACAAGCAGATGGAACTATTTGATCATACACATTTTAAGCACTCTTGGCTGCCCCATTTCCTCAATCTGTGTTGGTCACACAATTTGAAAGTCTGAATTTAGAGAAAGCACAGTTTATGAATTTTAGTTTTCAAATTATGAAACTTTAACCTGCAGTTGAAAGAGAAACAAATGCCTGAAAGATGAGCACATCTGGACACAGCCCAGAGACATCCTTCTATCTTATCATTTAATACCTTATTATCACACATCAGCAAGAATGTGAGCACCTGGAATCTTTCCGCCAACCCCAGAACATTAAAAGTTATTTGCGTCTCTCTTTTGCTTCTCTCTCTTCGTATTTTCTTTTGTCTCTACCTATGAACAGTAGATAGATGGGCATGCATTCAATTGCTTATTTAGGGAGACAAAAAGGCTACTTCGAATCCCAAGTTCAACATGTATTAACACAACCGTGTATTTTAGAAAGATTTTTAAAAAAAATTATTTAGATTTCTTTTCTTTCTCCTTTTGCAGTGTCAAATGGGATGTATATATTTTTTTACATTTCTTTTCCGTTAATCCAAATATTACTTGGTCATTCAATAATATTTTATAAGGCATCTATTATGTGCAAGTCATTTTTCTAGCACTGAGATATAAAGACAATTAAGTAAAAGAAGCAGTGGCAATAACAACGAAGTAATAGTTGACATTCACAAGAGAAGCCATATTGAAGCTTTTAAGATTGATTCTGTAACATACTATTCATAATAATCAATAAATTAATACTGAAAAATAAATCTTATTTAGGTCCTTCATAATGCTTAATTAAGATATTAATTCAACAAATATTTATTGAGTATGTACTAAGTGTCAGGAACTCTCAAAAATCTTATATTTATGCCAGATGGTGATAAAGACAGTGATGAATAATGTTAATTAAAGGGCTAGAGAGAGAGAGAGACAGAGTGCCCAAGGAAGGCCTCTTTGATATGGTGACATTTAAACAGAGAAGGAGTGAGCCTTCCAGATATCAGTTATCTGTGAGTGCAAAGAGCCTGAGACAAGAAAGAGTTAGGGATGTTCAAGGGATAGTCAGGAAGTCAGGTTGGCTACAGGAGAGAAAGAAGTAAGTGATGAAGAAGGAAGTTAAGCTCTCTTATGCATGGTTGCAAATGTCCTAATAAAGATTTGGATTTTACTGAGTGTCTAAGGAGCCTGGAAACAGATGACTATAAAATAAATGTTATTTATTATAACGTTATAATAAAATAATACTGTCTCTATTTCTAAACTTTATGGATACCCTGAATAAGGAAAGACATGGCCAGCTTGCAGTGGATTTTGAGTAGAAGAGAGCAGTAATCTGCCTTTTGAAGGGGTTCAGAGTATGCCACCCCAAAATATGCCACACTGGCATAGGATTATGTCGACTTAAAGACAATTGAGAAAAAGAAAACAAAAGAAAAATGATCTGCCCACCCTCTGTCTACCAGGAAGGGCAGGACATTCCTAATCACCCTAGAGTTGTTTATCAGCCCAGAGATGGCACCAGATGAATCTACCTAGCAAATGTTGCTCAAATTGTTATTATCTTCCATTAGTTTCCCCTATTAATTTATCTGGCACAATATACTGACCCTATAAGCTCAAAGTTTCTTTTATTTGTCTTATTACTTTAGAAAGTTATTATGATTTTGCTATAATGCTTTATAAGTGCAAGTTCTAACCACCCCTTTGAGTTACTTATCACTGAGTATGTCCACGTGTTTATGCAATGCATGCATTAATAAGTTTTTGTTTCTTTTTCTCTTAGTAATCTGTCTTTTGTCAGTCTAATTTTTCAGGGCCCTAGCTGGAGATCTTAGGAGGGTAGAAAAAGAGAGTTAAATTTTTCCTCTTTGACAGTTTTATTTTACCAAATCATTTTGCCTGTTATGTTGAGAATAACCTGGAAGGTGGCAAGGGTAAACCAGGAAAAACAGGCTATAAAAATATTTTTGGTGAAAGATGTTAGTAGATTGAATTAGTTTGGAGATGGTAAAAAAGGCGAATTCTAGATATATGTCAAAGGCAGAGCCAAAAATATTTCATGTTAGATTGTGATATGGTATGAGAAATAAAAAAGAACAAGGACAACGCTAGGTTTTTGTCTTAAGGAGCTGGTAGCAAGGAGTGGAATTTTTATCAAGATGGGAGGATTAAGGGTTGAACATGTTTGGGGTAGGAGCTGGGGAGAAATGAAGGTTTTGGCTTGATGTATTTTAGAATACAAATGGATATGAGGAGTTAGGAAACAAGTGGATATGAGGAGTGGACAGAAGGATATGTGAGTCTGAAATTTGAGATGGCAGTGGGGGGAAAAGTCTGGGCTGGTGATGAAGATTTGAGAGTTCTCAGGTATGGGTATTATTTGCAGATGTGAGATCCCCTGGGAATACGCATAGAGCAAATAGAAGAGTGACAACTGAGATCTACACCACTCCAAAATTTAGATATCGAGAAGATGAAGAGGAGGCCTGGAAATGTATCTGAGAAGGGATGACTAGTAAGATACAAAAATTGCCAAGAGAGAGTAGGCTCTTGAATGCCAAGTGAAGAGAATGTTTCAAGGATCCATTGTTCAACTTTGACATGCTACTGAGAGTTTGACTCAAGGTGAAGACCTCACTTTCTTTTCTCGTTTTATGCCAGTCCTAAAAGCTGAATTTTGTGTCTGCTTATCTTAAGAGCTAGTGGTAGTTTTTTTCAAAAACAATACTTTCATCTCTTCTTAAAATATATTACACATAATAATTAGAGAAAAAACAGATGAATATGTTTTGAGATGGACTGCTGGGTTGTGGATTAGGCTGTTTCACTTGTTATGTTGATCTCATCACATTTTTCTTTCACTTTTATATCTCAAGAAAGAGATGATTTTCTAAATATCATTGACCGTTAGGACTGATAAGACATAATTGAAATTGTAAAAGTTAAAATCATAAGTGTCAAGAGCTGAAAACAGAAGTGCATGGGTTTATGATGGAAGAACATAGAAATTGAGCACAAAAAAAATATAGTAAATTTTGCTTTCTATGTGGCTTATTTATTTATAACTTGCTTTGTTCTAAACTGTAATCTTCTAATAGGTAAAATCTATGTCTAAAATATCCATTATTTGCAGAAACTTAGACTAAGTGCATGGGGGTGTAACAAAGAATTTAAAAAATTAGAAACATAAATCTTCCAATTGACTCACTTTGGTCAATGTGTAGATGTTTCATACTTCTCAAATTTTGTTTTTACCCATGGTCATTTTTACCTATGGTCATATGGTCATTTAGACTCTTAAGCCCTCATGCTCAATCCAGGCAATGAGCAAATTTGTTTGATGAACACAATGTTGGTTAATATTTAAACACTTGGAGATTTTACATATACATCCACATTTCTGTTTTTTTTTGAAAAACTGGTGGAGTAATAGCCTGAAGCTGAGTCACAATCACCCCATGTTGGCATGGCATGAATTCAGTCTTCAACTTGTCAAAATCCAAGCTCAACCTAATTTTTGATTTAAATTAACTGCATAAGCCTTATAGGCAATTCAGTTTTCAATCATTTGCCCACAAGATTTATTATATAAATTATTGCAACTTGAATACAATACAACTCATGTAGCTGAGTCATTAACATTTTTAAGATGAGAAAATAGTCTTCTTCTATGTACTTCATTATTTTTAATGCTAATTTAAATGGTGTAAAATTTCACATAAGTTAATGTTGATATGTCGAAATAAAATGCATATGGTTCTGATCGAGTGAATACATATACATATATGTATATATGTATACATATATATATATATACACATATATTTACATATGGTAATATTTTCCAATGTCAAAGTATTGTAAAGAATTTATAAGTTGATTCACTTTAGCAGTACATATTTCTCATGTTGGATCAACCATTTCAATCTTTGAAATGGCTTTTATAAGTTGGTTTATTTGTTTCTTCAATTATTCTGTATTGATGGATTTTATGTGCCAGATACTGCTAGGAGACTGCGATTAGAAAGGATTAAACTTGTTTCTCTGCTATCATGATTCAGTGGAAAGATAAATACAAAAGCAGAAAATCAAGGTCCAGTGGGATAAATTCTAGGAAAGTGTCAGCACAAGGTGCTATGGGATCAAAGTAGAGGAACCACTGACATTATTAAATGAGGATCTCCAGTGTCGGTAACTCCCAAGCTTCTTTGCTCTTAACTGTTTAATATCATGTACCTTAACTTAACATTGCTGCTCCTTTATGTTGATGTGTGATGGGTCTTAATCAGACCTCATTTGAGGATTCTCTCTCTCCTTCTCTATTGCTAGAGAGAGAGGGACAAGGGAAAAAATAGGGGAGAAGGAAAGGGATAGAAGGAGAAATATTAAAAAAAAAAATTAACCTGATTCCCAGTGATCAGTTTAACAGTAGGGGCTATTTAGCAAATAACTTTGTTGTCTTTAGTTTTGCCATATAACATAGATTGTTGTTTATATTCTCTAACCTCAGTTTGCATGTCTATTAATGAAGTATTAGTTTATATTAGTCTTTTTCAATTAGGGCTCCTCATATGAACTACAGAACATAGAAAGTAATTTTTGTGTCTAATTCCTCAGTTTTTCCAATGATGGTATATAAGGAAATAATTTCATTAATTCCATACACTGGATGCTTTAAGTCATTTAGGCTTAATTCTCTCAAGAATACTGATGGATTCTATTGTTGCTTCTAATTTGTTTATTGCTGCTGTATCTCCCTCCACCTTGCAAATCAGAAGTTTACATTATGAATAAAGAATCTAAGTTACCATGTATCAGAATATATTGCACTGCTCTGTGTGATATAAGCATTAGCTAGTTATAGTGTTTGGCCTTTGTGGACAATTGTTGCTGAGGCCAAGTTTGTCATTGTCATAGCTTGTGTAGTTTCTGTTTCCTTGAATATTGAAATCTTAGGGTTTCAAGAAAAGTAAGGAAGAAGAACTCTAGTGATCTAATATGATTTTAGGGCTAACTTTCTGATAGAGTAGCCTATAGTCCCATTTAGTTTACCAACAAGAATTATGAATTTAACCCAATATGACCTGCCATTGATACCACAGGAAGTCATAGTTTTAAGAGAGCAAATTAAAATAACAATAATAAAGAAAATGACAGCTACACATCACTGAGTAGTTGTTTTATACATCACCACATTAAACCTTTACAAGAACGTCAGAAATAGCTTTTTTGTTCTTCACTTAACAGGTTGGGAAACTGAGAGGAGTTATTTCACTTACCCAAGATCCAGGTCTAGTAAGTGGCAGAAGCCATATGCAAATCATTGTCTCTATAACTTTGATAACCTTACACTATGCAGCTCTTCATCATGGCCTACAGAAGTTAAGTTATTGCTTCTCAGAGGGGAAAATGACAAGAACCAAACAAAGACTCCAGATCTGTTAGAACCTTGTGAAGACTGAACAATGGCAATAAATAGGCTGAGTGTTGAGGGTCCAAGGAATTCAGGAGATATACTCCAGGCATCTTCAGCACACATCCGAAGTTTAAGGAAAGACCTTCGATTCCACCCACCAGCAGCTGGTGCCATCAAGTCTCAGCCCCAGGTTGCCTTTGTCAGAACTGAAGCAGTGGCCAGGGGAGAGAAGTCAGAAAGGAGAATCTGTAGATCCAGACCCCTGTCTGCATGTTAGTTGGGAAGGGGCTGGTACTGGTGCTGATTGTGGATCCACCTGTTAAAGTATGAAACTGTGCTCAAAGTTTTTGTTACGAAAATTTTCTTTGAAATATTGTAGCAGAACTTAGTGCTCTGCATGCATCCCCTGAAATACATTTTAATGTTTCTATATAATTCTCTACCAATGTGGGGAAGTTCTTGTCTTTTTTTTTTTTTTTTTCAGGTACTTTCTTCAGGCCAGTGGAATGATTCTTGCAGAGAGCCAAAGTGCCTGAGAGTTTATATCATTCCAGGGAAGACCTTTCCAGTGACATACAGGGGTAAGGTCATGGAGACGCAGCTCCCTTACCTGGACAAGACAGGTCTAAACATAAATTACACTATAATTTCCCCTGTAGGATTGGCTGTTGCTGCTTCTGTAGGATGACGTTAGTCTGAATTCGCACCTTTATTTAGCTCTTCTTTGCTGCCTGTCTGTCTGTCTCACTAGTTTTTCCTTAACAAGTAATTTGATCATGATCCTTATCTTAGGATTTGCTTTTGAGAAAACTCACCTAAGACATACAATATTCATATTTATATGTTACATGTTATATATTCGATCATGTCCATGGAGTGTAATGTTCATGGGAAAAAATGCACAATGTTTGGAGCCAGATAAATCTTGTTTAAAGACAAACTGAATCACTTCTACTGATGCTCTTGGACAAGGTAACTCTCCCACTCACCCAACATCTTACTTGTTTCATAATGTATGCAATGTCAATAAAGATACTTAAATTGGAAGAGCCTGAATTCAATGGGATAAAGTATTTAAATCACCTAGTACTCAGTGTTTCTACATATTATAACCCCAAACAAAATGAGTTTTGAGACATCAAATCCCAGAACAGTCACGAAGAAACTGCATTTAAGATATAATTTTCCTTTTATTGTGTTTTTGCATAGATCTCTCTCATATGACAAAAGAAAAAAAATCCTACATCACTGGCCTTCATAGAGACAGTCAATGCCTGCTTGGAATACTATATTGTTGCTGCCAATTTGTTCTCACCCTCGGAGGCATTGTGATCTGTGGACAGAGAAATAAATATTTCTGTTTATTTCTTCATTTAGTACATGTCATCCTGCATTGATCTTGGCTATTTCTCACAAAGGGATGTATGTAGAAGAAGTTTTCACAGCACACATAAATATTAAAGGCATATTTAGTTCTCCACAGTCAGTAAGGCTGAGAAGACAAACAGGCCCATCACTGAAGGATGTGTTTGAGGATATGTTAAGGGCTGACCATCAAAATGACCTGCATGTAAGTCTTACAAAGTGTGCCTTTCAAAAAATTCAATGACCTGTCATCTTCCTTTAGGGTTTGATAGTATAGGTTGGACTGAGTCCTATATCATTTCTGTCCTGCAAACGCCAAAATGATTCTTTCTGTACTCAATGTTAAATATTCTATTCACAGAAGCATGCAGGCTTGATTTTTCCTATTTTATATGAATTGAAACTTCTTTCTTGGATGTAGTATGGGCTTTGGGTTGGTATCTGCCCCCAAAGGAGACTGAGAAAGCCTTGATCATTGATTCCACAAGACCCATCTCTGGTTTGCGATTTAGAACTGTTTATTACCTCTGGCCATTCCAAACACACCAAACTGCTTTTTCTCTCTCTGCTTTGGTTAATACTATTTTTTTTCTGCCTGGAATTTCCATCCTTTCCATTAACCTTACACCTTTCTCTATTTATCTGAAGATCAGCTACTCATCCTCCAAGATTCAGCTGTAGCAACATCTCCTCTAATTAGCCTTTCCTGCCTCCTCCCCTTAGTCTTGTCTCCATCTCCTGTTGCTCTTCTGGCCCTGTATGGACTTCCACTGTAGCTGTAACAGGTTAGTGCTAGGGGACTGTGACTTCTCATGAGCAAGGATCAAGGCATTCATGTTGGGTCCTTCATTGTCGGTACATAATATGCATTCAATGCATGTTGGCTAGTAAAGGAACAGCCAGCACAATGTCAAACCAGATACTTAGAAAATAAAAATATGATCCTACTTTCCAGAATTAAAAGTTCCCACAAATTTCCAATCCCATGAGGAGGAGGATTTCAGTCTGTTCACCAATGTTTCCAATCCCTCAGAACAGTGTCTGACATGATAAATATGTTATGAATGAAAGAAACTGATGGTTGGCTTGCCACCACCCCCACTCACCCATGGCTCATGCCCTCCATGTTGACTGTCCACTGACTTCAGACTGCCCTTAACCACTTGGTAATAGTATAGCAGTCTCAATGATGTGTCCTGTCTTACATTATAACATGAGAAATTTATTGCTTTGGATTGCCAAATCTGACATCTTCCTTTAAAAGGCAAAGATCTCTAGCAAAATGTGATGGAGGTATTTTAAATCTTGGCCTAACTAAACAAAAATGAATTAAACCTTTGTTTAAATTTGTTTTTCAAAGGTTCTGGTTTGTTAGAACCTTAAATTGTACCTGGAGGCCAGGAGAAGATGGTTGTTTTCGAGCTCAAATACTTGCCGTAAGAAGTGCTATGTAGATTTCTCATCCATCTAGCCATCAGCAGCCACTTAAAATATATGATGAGCTGCAGGCTGTTTTATCCCATTTAAGTGGAAAAAATCTTACTGATTGGAAGTCATTTATACTCTCCTTGGATTGCTAGGTACTTCATCATGAGGGTATGTCTCCTTTTTCCTTATGTAATCTGGAAGATTTAATAGAGACATTAATAAACGACTTTAATAAATGACTTCAACACCAGGCTGTGTCATTGGAGTAATGCCTGAAAGACCCATGGCGGGCATCTCTGTAGGGATTTTTAATGGCAGATTGGAATAATATTTTGATGTCCTGGTACAGTTTTGGTTCAAATAAAATATAGATAAAGAATTACAAAAAGTTTCGTTCCAAGACTAGAGACTCTAACAAGATTAAAGTTAGCTATGGTCAAGAGCAATAAGAGAAAAAGATTACATTTATCCTGTGAGTTTCATCTTTCAGTGTACTATTTGTTAGTATTACTCTGTTTACTGTTATAGAGGTATTTGTTTAGACTTATATTTTGGGAAAAATCAGTTTAGTGTTCAGATTCTTAGAGAGGAATAAGCTTCTCAGTTCAAATTAGATAATTAAGAGATCTTTGTTCCACAGTGGCAACTTTCTGGAAGAAGAAGAAAACAATTTAGGAGATGCCGTAATTTGGCATGTGTATCTGGAGACGGGATGGAGAAGGCACCAATGGGAAGATGGGGCTGAAAGTAGGACTTTACTGACCTTGAAGAAGAGAAAAGGACAGATGTTAACTAAGCACCTCCTTGCAAATGCCTGCATATAAATTAATTCTTCACCAGTCCTCTTCTGGGCTTTCTTTCTGGCTGAATACCAGAAGGGTAAGTAATTGTTGGGGGGCATGATAAGAATGAAAATTAAGACTTAGGAAGTTGATAGAGTGGCTCAGATTGTCTAAATGTCTGGTAAACTAAGAAGTCTTATATATGCATTCTCAGGTGTCTTTCCTTCCTGACTTTCTCTCCAGCTGCCTTTGCCTGCAACTGAGGTGTGAGTTGCATCCATTAGGATTTCTAACTGAGAGGTCCTTGGAAAGGAGGAGGTCCTGGAAACAATGGCTTAAAGTGAAGTGCTCCTGGAGGCTTTGCAAATTTATCAATTCATTCTCTTGGAAAGTGTTACTGTATTAATATTTATGTTCCTGGGGAAAGATTATGAAAATGGAATAGTGGAAGAGTCATTTTTACTGCCTCAATCCATTTGCATCAACGCTCTAAAGGAATATATATGTATTTTTATTTTTTAACATTGCTTCTTCATGAGCAAAAGAGAAGAAGTTATGTTCCCTGAAATGAGGTCTTAATTTTTCAAAGCAGAATCAATAGGCTGCCACATTTCAGGAAAGAAAGAAGATGCTGCAATTGGTCTGGAACCTGCTAATTGACAGCACAGTGGATTCTCCTTTGTCTTTCATCCTGTTCTGTTGAGAAAAGGCAGTTAGGAAGAGGAAGCCCAGCATCCGCTCTCACTACTTAAACCCTCCCTCATCCATCTACATCCCTGTTCAAACCACAAATACTCGACTTCCCAGCCCCTTGACAGGAGCTTTCATATATTGCCTAACATGAACTGTTGAAAAGTGATGCTTGTTATCCACATCTAACTGTATTAAACAGGAATTTTTTACTTACAGAGCTTGTCAATAGTGATGCTAGTACTTGATACTAGGTTTTCTCACTCAAAAGCATGTATATTTAGCAAGTAAATTTTCTTGTCTATTCATTAATTAGTAATTGATAATTGAGTAATCCAGTATTGCAAGCAAAAAACATGGCTACCAAAGTAACACCTTTGAATGCATTTGGGTCTTTCCACAATAACAGGTTCGAGTGGAACCTTTTCAGATAAACCAATTAGGTACCCATGCAGGTTAACACACAGCACAGAGAGAGGGAAAGTACTGAGTCTTATGCGACAGAACAAAGGGCTGGAAATCCTTAATGTCTCCAAGTGAGCTCTGTTGATGAGCAGTGCAGATAACCGTGTGATGGTCCCAAGCCAGTGGCTATGACATGTCAGAAGGTCAGAGTTTTTAGCTCTTGGTGCATCCATCCATGATGTTCTTGGATTAGGCTTGAGCCTTGTCTGTCTAAGGTGTTCAGTTTATATGGACCTTATAAGATGGGATCCTTATGCTTATCTATCCCTGCAGATGGAGGCTTATCCAGGACAGTCATGATTGACTTTCTGTGGTTTTGTGTTTCAGTTATACCCTAAGGGAGTTCCCATTATGTGCTAGTTGACATTACTGTCATAGCTTTCATAGAATCCATTTTGTAAAGTCCCAAAAGTTCTCATTTCTTTATGCTCTATACAATATTATTCCTATAACACATTATATATGTATATGTACATATATATACACATACATATATGTACATATATATATACATACATATATACATACATACATCAGGAAGCAATTATGGAGACTGAGAAATTCCACCATCTCCCATCTGCAGGCTGGAGAACCAGGGAAGCAAATGGTATAATTCAGTCTATGTCTGATAGTCTGAAAATTAGAGGGCTGATGATGTGAGTCTCAATCCAAGTCCAAACACCCAAGAACCAGAAGCACCAGGGCAGGAGAAGATTAATGTCCAAGTTGAAACAAAGACCAAATTTACCCTTCCTCTTCCTTTTTGTTCTTTTCAGATCCTTAGTGGATTGAATGACACCCAATCACTTTGGCTAGGGCAATCTCTCATCAATTTACTGATTCAAATGCTAATCACTTCCCAAAACATCCTCACAGACATGCCCAGAAATTGTCTTACCAGCTGTCTGAGTCCTTTACCCCCGATAAGTTTACACATACAATTAACCATCATTGGCACAGTTGTAAAAATTTATTATTCTTATGGATAAATAATCTTTGGTAGGATATGTGTTTTGAGATGGATGAGCAAAGAGGGATGAGGTTGTGAACATGGGAAAGATAGTTAAAAAGTGTTTTTTTTTTTTTTTGGAGAAAACACTGCCTATCAGTTCCCAGGACTGCTTCCTACATTTGGTGGACTCCATGTGAGCCTGGAGACCACGTGCCAGATTCGATTTACAAACTAGAAGATGCTATTTGTTCTCCTAGGAGAGACAGGAATTTCAAAGTCGTACTCGTGAGTACAACATCATCCTATAGTCTCACATCCCTCTTTATGGTTTAGGAGATAGCTTTATGTGTTAGGAGAATGGCCTTGGTGTGAAATTCCCAAACTCTTCTTGCAGTGGGATTACACTGGGCAAACCAGGGGAGCTGGCTGCCTTGCAGAGCAACACTCACTGCTCAGGGATAAGTACTGGCTCTGTTACTAAAAATGTGACCTCAGGCAGGTTCCTTGGCTTTCTCATCTATAAAATGGGGATAATAATAACTATTATGTCATATACAAACACATAGAGTTTATATGGGTTTGTATATAAACTACTTTTGAGTTTGTCTGGCCCATAATGAGAGTTCACTCTCTCAATTATTTCTTTCCTGGGCAGGGAGAAATGGCCCACAAACATGATAATGCTTTCCTCATGAGCAGAGTTGAGATTAATTTGTATACCTTAGGGCCATAGTTTTCAGCTAGGAACATATATGCCCCTCAGAGATATTTGGCAATATCTGAAAACATTTTCAATTGTTAAAGTAAAAGAGAGCGGTATTATCAACACCTATTAGGTAAACAGTAGACATGCTACTAAATATTGTACACCGTTTAGCATTTTACAGAGCCCAGAACAAAGTGTTAACCAGTCTAAATGCCAATAGTGCTGAGGTTGGAATCCTGCCTTATGGAATGCTTGTAGCTCAGCCCTAGGTATGTTACGGTGTGCAGTGACTAATGGTGCTTTTCTTTATTTCACCCACCTCAGTCTGTACCATTCTGTCACTTTTCTTTCTTCACCAGTGTTCATTTATATTCAACAAACTCTACTTGATGTCCCATCTTTCTCTAGTCCTTCCTTCAGGAATATACCAGCTATTGTGCTTTTGTAGGGATGTTGAAATAATAACCTACCTCATTAAGACATTTTGTAGTGGTCTTACTTTAGAGATCTCTTTAGAGTTGACTGAAGAAAATAGATGATAGAGAGCCATTCTTGAAATCTACAGTCATTTAAGGTCATTGTTTGTATTTCTAAAATTCTGAGTAGACCAGGTCATGTTCTCTGTCTGCAATAGGTTCCTGGTGGTGGGGGAGAGGGTGAGTAGAAACTCTGGAAAAAACAGAGCCCTTGGTAAATAGTTGGGAGGGATGTTCATTTACCTTTCTTCTTTCCTTGATGAAGATCCCAGCAACTGGAAGTAGTTGGTGTCATGGAAGAAGGAAATAATGGACATAAAGAGGGTCATTTAGAAACTGTCTTTGAGCTCTACCTGGGGCAGCTTCCACAGCTTCAAGTAAATTTACCATTTGGAGATAAAGAATTTATCAGAATTATTAGAACAACAGTTTTGCTCCCTATAAATATTCCCCAAGGTGTGAAGATTTTTGGCTCAACCTATTTTATGTTGACAAATGAAAAGAGAAATTATAAACATTATAGTGTTATTCAAAATCTCAGAAGATGTTCTAATAATTAGATATATGTTTAGAGAAAGCTTCATTGAAATGAAATATGCCATTATTAATTGCTGAACTCAAATGATGCCTTGCATTTGTTTGAAATCAAGTATAATATTAATCCTTATTTTGATGTTTGACTAACCATTTTTCCATTTTCTGAAAGCTCTTTAACTGTTTCTCCTCTCATAGATGACTTATGGTTTTAGAATGAGAAATGTAAGCAGGAAGAAATGTTTCCTAAAAGTAACCAGTATTTTATTTTCAGGATTATAAAGTGTTACTGAATATGAATGCAATGTGTCTGTAACCTTCATGGCACCCGTATTATATTTAAAAATGTACATTTTGTAAAGCCTCAGATATGAACCATGAGTCAGGGCAATTTTTCAAAGCCATTGTGCAGAGTTCTTATGACTCAATAAATACCTAAATATCAGTTTAATAATTGAATTCTGACAAATTTGAAATCTTGGCCACATATCACCAAAACTATTTATTTAGCACTTCTCAGGGAAAAAAAAAAAAAGCAGAGGATGCTTCTGTGCAAGATGTTTTCAAGTTCAAAAACTAAAAATAACAAACTCAGAAAACAAATGGAGAGAAAGTACTAAAAAGTTCAATTTTGAGTCTTTTGCTAAGTATTTTGCATTCATCTTATTGAGGAGCAGGAAGTAAGGGTGTCTTGTATTGTATAGGTAGTCAGACCTATGTTGAAATTTTGGTTTCTCCTCTTAATCTTTCTATGACCTTATACTTTATTTAACCTCTGAGTTAAATACTTTTTCATATATAGGGATGTCATAAAGATGAAACTAGATAGTGTATACAGACATCCTTGCACAGGTTACCGAAACATAGTAGGTGGTGCTTAAGAAATTGTCCCCAAAACTCCTCTGGTAAAAGTAATAGATAATTTATGTGATATTTACAAACATGTATTTTGTAATTAAATTCTCTCATTATCTCTTTTTTTAGGTATCTTGGTAATTGGGAGAGTTTGAAAAAAACTGGATGCATGGCACATTTCTAGTCACATCTACCTCAGATGAACATAGATACTATATTTTTAGGATTGAGAATGTCTACAAACATTAACCATGTGATAGACAAATTTTAGGCATATTATGAGCAGGTAGAACTTTGTTAGACTTCCCAAAATATTGAAGGAATGGCTCTGGTAGGGAAATAATTTGCTTACATGCATGGCCGTTAGTCTTCTCTCTTTTTGGCTTAGGTTCAAAGAAGAAGAAGGAAAATCATAGAGACATTTTCAACTTCTTTGTTTGTATTCTTCTTCAAATAAAATTGAAAGGCAAATGTCTTCAAGTCCTCTGTCATTAACTCAGCTCTATGGTTCTGGGCAAGTCATTTACTCTTTCTAAGCCTTTGTCTATAAAATGGTACTAATCAGAGTACCTGTCTCTAAGTGCAGCCATTAGCCTCTAAATTAGTCTCCCAGAATTCTTTTGCATTTACTCTGGCTCTTCTGGTCCAGCTTTCCGAGGAAGAGAGAAGGGTACAAATGCAGATGAGTCTATCAGCCTCTAACAGCTACCGTTCTAACATCCTAGTCCAGCTTCCCCAGGGAGGAGATGAGGGTTTGAATGAAGGCAGGTGAGTTTGTGTACCTCCAACAGCTGCTGCTATAATATGTTCAAGAATGCTGCCAGCTGTAGTGACAGCTTTGAGGACTGATAAAACATTAAAGTTTGATATTGACAGGAGCTGAGGCATTTGTAATTAAGCACTCTTGATTGCATCTGTCTATATATGTACAATATGCATATATATATTTATAAAGAATAATCAGGTTAAATGTTTCTGGTGATAGTTTAACCCTTCTATGATGTTTCTTATGGCCATACTCACTGAAATTGTTTCTGGAACAAAACTTTCTTATAACACTTTCTTGAGGAATTTTTAAAATACATATATTTTAACTTTTGCTTTACATTTAAAAAAAAGACACATGATGGAGATATTCACTGTGACTTACAATGAAATGAAAACCATGAA